CACTTCTGCTTAATCAAAATTTGCACAATAATCAAATTGAATCTGTTTGCTTTTACTTTAAGGCCCTCAAGGTTCAACAAATTTAGTGGAGAGTCTGATAACCAAGGGGTGAAATCTCATTATATTTGCTTGGGGGGCAGGGGCAAGCCCCAAACGGAACTGTGCCCAGGATTCCACAGGATACACGGTGTTGACAGAGGTTTGATTTAAAAGCACATGAGGCTGTGGCTTCTGAATTCAATCGGTCACCATTGGAAAGAACACATGAAAATACTTTAGTCAATATTATCCTCTCTTCCTTTCTTTGAAACCCCACACCATTTTGCCTGGGCCTTTCTTATACATTCCAGCTTATAAAAATAATAAACTACATCCTGGCTGGGTACAGTGGACCATGACTATAATCCTAACATTTTGGGAGGCCGAGGCTGAAGGATCAGTTGAGGCCATGAGTTTGAGACCAGTCTGAGCAACACAAAGAGCATCAATCTCCAAAAAAATGGAAAAAAAAAAAAAATTGGCCAGGCATGGTGGCCTGTGTCTGTACTCCCAGCTACTTGGGAGGTTGAGGCAGGAGGATGGCTTGAGTTTAGGAGTTTGAGGTTGCAGTGAGCTATGACCATGCCACTGCACTCTAGCCTGAGTGACACAATGAGACTCTGTCTCAAAAAAAAAAAAAAAAAAATCCTAGCATACATAGAATTATATATATATATATATCATCTCCCTTCGAGATTAAGTTTCCTAAGGGCAGAATACTCATATGAGTTACCTCTTTTTCACATACAGCATAAAAAGGGCATAATTATAATATAATAAACATTCATCATTAGTTGAATAAGCTAAAAAAATATTAACAAAGTCTCTTAATGAACAAAAGTCCCTGGCAAACTGAGAGGTAAAAAGATGATTTTTAAGGGGCTGAATTAAAGACTTTTAAGATGCCATATATTTTAAATATGCAAAAGATTATACAATGCATGATTTTTTTCCCTATATTTAATGCTACAAGGATGTGGAAGAGAGACCATAATCAGGAAACCAAATGAGAACAGAGATTAGCAGTCAGAAATAATGATAAATTGCCTCACTCCCTTAAACATAAACACACACACACACACACACAGAGAGAGAAAACAGAAAGACACTGGAGAATACTGGTCAAAAAACAGAAACAAAAACTCTCTACTCAAAATGAGAATGTGGTAAATTTAAAGCTTTTTAAAAAATGATAAAGCATATTTATGAGTTTTGCATGTTGATGTGAACATGGTCAGCCAGCCATTCTTTAGAAGCCAAGCTCATTCCCAGGAGGGCTACCTGTAAAAAATCTCAGTCAACTTATCCCCAATGTGTACATCCCTATAGGAATAAGAGACCTAAGAGAATTCAAAAGTAATTTAAAATCCTTTTCTTGCCCCTCAAGTTTCTAAACGATGGCTTATAGCAACTATTCCAAAATTAAGAATTACACAAACCTTGATGAGGGGAATATTTTTTGTTGATATTGTTTAAAGAAGAACCAAGAGATAAAGGATGGCTTATACATAGGACAGAAAGAAAAAGGAGAACACTGTCATAAAAGAACATGTTGAAGTTCTAACCCTACCACCTCAGAATGGGACCTTATTTGGAAACAGGGTCTTTACAGAGCTAATCAAGTTAAAATGGGGTCATAAGTGTGGGCCCTAATCCAATGTGACTGGTGACCTAACAAAAAGAGGAAACTTGGACACAGAGACACATGCAAAACCCTGGGAGAATGCCATGTGAAGATGAGGACAGAGACTGGGGTAACTCATCTACAAGTCAGGAAGCCCAAGATTGATAGCGTACCATCAGAAGCTAGGAGGGAGTCATGGAACAGATTTTCCCTCACAGCCCTCAGAAGGAACCCATCCTGTCTCCACACTAATATCAGACTTGTAGTCTCCAAAACTGTGAGACAATAAATTTTTGTTGTTTAAGCCACTCAGCTTGTGGTACTTTGTTATGGCAGCCCTAGCAAACTAATACAATGAGGATGACGATAAAATCTGAACTTGACACCCGTAAATCAATACATATATGTAAAATGCTCACAAACTGAAAATCACAGGGATCTCTACAAATGCTAGGCAGCTTTATTGCAAAATAATGAGAGCTGCTCTTGGGGATGAGGCCAAAGATAGCATCTAAAGATGGCAGCAGCGATGCAGACATTTACGGGATAGTGATGAGGAGTTCCGCAACAGGGATCCCAACATTTAGCTGGCTCTTTAAATTATGTAACTCTTCAGGGACACACCAAACTCAGCTCTAAAGTCCTGCTATATGACATGTACCTTTTATTCTTCAGCCTGACCTTGACACCTTAATGCAGGCAAACCCAGGCAGCCTGTCAACTCTCAATGCAGGTGAGTAGGCAACAATGGCTTTCATCTCCATCTGTAGGAGATTATAATACCACATGTGACCAGGAGACTTGAAACTGCTTAAGAAATTCTAACAAGATAAATGTAGACCTGCTGGAGTGAAAACTATCAACTGACCAGAACCATCCTTCCCAAAGATTAAACTTTTAAAGTCTTTATTTTATGTAGGTATAATAAATGGAAACGTTTTCAACTATCTCCAAGATTTTCACACAAGTCTTCAAGGTAAACATTTAATGGAGTTATTAACTTATATTTGGAGATCAGATGAGCACATCTTTTATGGCCAGGCACTTCCAACTGCTTGGTTTGTTTCCTTATAAAGAAATAGTGTGTTTGCTTCTGTTTGAGTCACAATTAAAACAAGTCAGAGCATATGTGAGAACCATCTGGAATATTCAACAACAACCAAACTTTTTCTAAGGCCTTATACTATGGAATCTTTAATGGTAGAATAGTTAGAAAAAGAGTGGCTTCAAGCCACCAGATAGACATGAGCTAAAACAAGCTTTGCCACTAGCCACCTGTGTGGACATGGGCAAGTGGCCAAACCTCTCTAAGCAACAAGACTGGTCAAATGGAGATGACAATGATGGAACTGATAGGACCTTTTTTAAATGGCAGTGTGAGGAGTAAATGAGATAAAGGATGTACTGAACTTTATAAAAACTAATTGCTCAATAAAGGGTAGTTATCATCATGCTACTTACATTAAATGTACACCTAATTTTTATACAGTAGAGCAGAGGTCCCCAAGCTATGGTGAGTTATATGATTATTTTACTATATATTACAATGTAATAATAACAGCAATAAAGTACACAACAAATGTAATGTGCTTGAATCACCCCAAAACCATCCTCCCACTCCCTGTCCATGGAAAAACTGTCTTCCATGAAAACGGACCCTGTTGCCAAAGAGGTTGGTGATCACTGCAGTAGAGTACCACTATTTTTCTTTAGGAAAGAATATAAAAACATAGGCCCCAACCCGTTAGAAATTAGCTCAACCATTTAGACCATGACCCTGATATTCCAAAACTCTCAACCAACATGGTCAAGTCATTAACAACCCTCAGGATTTTGTTTTGTTTTTTGTTTTTGTTCCTCATCATGTTGATTTTTCATTCAAACAACAACAACAACAACAAAAAAAAAACAGACCTTTATTTTAGTAATTTTTTTACAGCTCTCTAATGAACAGTACTATTTTTTTGTTTGTTTGTTTGTTTGTTTGTTTGAAACAAACTTACTCTGTTGCCCAGGCTAGAGTGCTGTGGCATCAGCCTAGCTCACAGCAACCTTAAATTCCTATACTCGAGCAATCCTCCTGCCTCAGCCTCCTGAGTAGCTGGGACTATAGGCGTGCATCACCATGCCTGGCTAAATTTTTCTATTTTTGGTAGAGACAAGGTCTCACTGTTGCTCAGGCTGGTCTTGAACTCCTTACCTCAAGTGATCCACCCATCTCAGCCTCCCAGAGTGCTATGATAACAGGCGTGAGCCACTTCACCCAGCCAATACTACTACTTCTGACTTAACAGCATTTTTGCATTTCCTTACTTACATATCTCCCTTAATAAAGAATATTTCTTCAACTCTTAACTTAAAAACCGAGAACAAAGGTATAAGACTACACACCAGAAAAGCGGAAGATTATCTAAATCAGCACATGGCAAAAATTTCCAATTACATATTTGGGATGATCCTTCAGAGAATTTTCCTTCTATATCTTTTTATTTGATTACTTACATCAGAACGTCCAACCCTCTACAATGATTTAAAAAGTAGATAAGAATAAGGATGTTTAGACAATTATTTTTCAACATCATTTGGTAAAGTTACTAAGGTAAACTAAGGTTGTATCTTCTGTGGCTATTTCAGAAATAGCATTAAGTTCGCTACAAGCAACCCACCACTAAAGAAAGTACTTCTCTCTGACCTTAATCAGTAAGGAAGAGGGAGGAGGTCAAGCAGAGATATATGGGGACAAGCTTTTTAGGAATCCAAATCTATGCCCTGATCCAAGGACAACAATGGAGGGAAAGAGATAAAGGAGGAAAAGAGTCATTTAATTTTGTGGAAATACATGCAGCATGATCTCAGAGAGGACAGGTAGGAAGAAAGACAAGGAAAAGTTTGCAATTTTTTTTTAACTAAGTGACTTCTGAAAGACAGAGTAAAACACTCAATTTAAAAAGATGTCAAGAATGGCCAATACATTTGGCTTTGTCAAATCAATACTTGTATTCTTAAGTTAACACTAAATTTCAATGAGAAATTAATGACATCATTCACAGGGAAATGAATTTTCATTCAAGGGTTCCAATTAACACTGAGAGAAAGAGAAATAAAGTTTGGGGGAGGAGTTAAACAGAAAAGATAAATTGGAAAAGTCTGCAAAACTGTCTACCAGCAGGGAAAACCAATTCTGCTACTCGTAAAAATAAACGAAAAGAAAACACCAGGTAGAGGGTAGTGGAATCTATTGTATATTAAATGAGAAGTATTTAAATATACTGCTATTAATGATTAAGAGAGCAGACACATTTTACATGTGAAATAGTCAAAAAAATAATAAACTTACTTGCTTTTCCCTTTGTATACCGTAGCATAAGATCCTTCCCCTAGCTTTTCCAGTTTTTCGTATGAGTCAGCTTTTCCAAATTTGGGACTTGTTGGCTAAAAGTGAAGCAAAAGGTAAACAAAACAGATTGTATCAAATTAATTAACAATAAATACCCTGATTTTTCTGAGAATGTATAGACTTTCTTTAACTTTTTAAACAACTTTTTTCTGACATAAAAATATTTATTTTTAAAAACAACATAATACATAGGATACAAAACTCAAAAAAATGCAAATAAATACAATGTAGAATTAAATTTCTACATAATCTAACCATAATCTAACCAGGGAACCACTGTTAAGTATTTTGATATCTCTTTCTTCCAGTACTATCTACATGCTGATAATTCCTTTTTTACATAAATGAGGTTACATAATACACCCTGTTTTGTAACCTGCTTGTTTTTGCTCAACATATTATGAACATTTTCCATGTTATTATATAATCTTCCAAATTAGGAGCTAGTAAACTGTGGCCCATGAGTCAAGCCCAGCCTACCACCTGTTTTTGTAAATCCAATGCATTTTGAACGGTTTTTATTTTTTTAATGGTTGTGGGGGAAAAAAATCAAAAGAAGAATAAAACTTCATGATATGTGAAAATAATATAAACTCAAATTTTAGTGTTCATGAAGTTTTACTGGAACACAGTCATGCTCATCATTTACATATTGTCTTATGGCTTTTGAGCTATAACAGAGCTATAATTGCAATAGAGATCATATGGCTGATAAAATATTTACTATCTGACTTGTGTTTTAAATCATGACTATATAATATTCAGTCATATACAGGTACTCCTCCAATACCTTTCAGTGATACTGCAAACAAATAATCAAAGATGTATCATCCGGATATCAATAATTAATGCAAACAAAATGGAATTCTCTTATGTATATATAAAATAATCCGTAAGGTTCAGCTGCCACAAAATAACTCTTCCTTAAGACAGGTTACAGCCCATCATGACTACACAAGTGCTAAGAGAGTGATCTCATCATGCTTGCTGTGCTCAACTCCCATCCCAACTTTAACCATGGAGCAAGACAAGGGGAGTGTTGTCCTCCATGGCAGAGAAGCACTCACTTTTTATATCAGTAAGGAATTACCTACTATTGTAATGTCACTACAGAAGGGTAATGTCAAAGCATACTACAAATAATAATTATATAAGGAATTAAAAACATCTTACTAAAGGGATTATCTGATCTCAGTAATAAGTACATATGTAGTTCATAAAACATTGCTAATGATTATAGTACTTCATAAATAACCAACCTTAGAAGTTTAGTGAAAGAACTTCTGTTCTTGAGCTTGAGTCTGAACACAATTTTTGTGTACACTCTTATACCACTTATCAAAAAACATATAAATATGGGCAATGATTCTGACACCCATTGTTTACTAGGATTCTGTGTGGCAGGTTTCTTACCTCTGTCCCACCCAAACTACCACATAATGACTGAAAAGGTACTTTTCAAAAATAATAAATCAGAACCAGAAATGGAAAACAAAAATGAGTGCCAATATATAATCAACATGTTGAGGAATCCTGAAAGATAGAAAGTAATCATGATCAAAACTTCAGAGAAAAGCCCAAACATGTAAGAAAGACTATTAAATAAAATAAGCAGGAACCTCTAGGTAAAGGACTAATCAACACAAAAGAGAACGGTGTCCCCCAAAGCAAGCTGCAGGGGCACCTGCACAGGGGACACAGTTGAGAATGTGATATTTGGGCTAGAAGGGCAGAGCAAGGACTCAAGTAGCCAATACCCAGAGAAAGAGCAATGTCTCCCCAACCCCCAAGCTGTAATCCCTTTCACACAACCACTGGAGATAAAGATAATTTATGTCAAATACAATTATCTGACACTGATTTTCAATATTCAACCAAAAAATCACAAATCATTTCAGGAAAATCAACAATCTGAAATAGAAGCATAAAATTCAATGGGTAGGATAAACTATAACCCCGGAAAGAAAGTTTACGGTGCAAAAGGTAAGAATAACTTTGAATATAAATAACCAATACTCTCAAAGAGCTTTGAAAAAACAACATATCCTTTAAAAAGAAACAAGTAGAGATCTCAGAGATTAAATATTTAATCAGTGAAATAAAAGATTAATCATTTAATAGACAGTGAATAGAAGAAGGGACATAGTTGAAAAAGTAATAAGCTCACTTCTGTCTGAACAAAATTCTTCCAGAAAACTTTGGGAAGAGGTTGCATCTAAATAGAATTATTCAACAAGCATAACATTTTCATAGACAACAATGGCTGCAAAAAGATAATTAAGAGATATTTTCAAAATTAAAAGGAAAAATTATTTTGCATCAGCAATACTATACTCAAGATAGTTCCTCAAGTGGGACATAGAAACACTGCAATTTTACTACACACAGAAAAAAATTGAAATATAAAATTCTGTATTATCTGAACATAAGATGCAATTTGAGTGATGGGGAAGTGCAGGACAGCAAGGAACAGTACAAAAGGAGAAACAAAAGCATGTTGCAGTTTCATGAATTAATCGGGACAGACTGCAGATACAAATTGAAACTCCAAATGCATAAGTTTTAGTATGTTTCTTAACTTTTAATAGGCAATCACCAGATTGATATAAATAAGGTGTACAAACCCCAAAGAAATTGTGGGGAAGGGAATGGAAGAAAAAATGCAATAAAGAAGGGAGAAAAGGGTAGGGCATGGGAGCTTAGAGGAGGAGGGCTACTCAATAAGAAATCATGCTAAGTAAAATTTTATAAGAATGAAATCCAAACATATCAATGATTACAATAAACATAAAAGAATCAACTTATATTGATAGAAAAGCTCTCAGACTGAAAAAAGAAATCTAGCAACATGCTATTGAGAAGACACAAAACTAAAAGAAAAAAGTAAATCTGAAAGTTAAAGAGTAGGGTAAAATATAGTCCAAAAAGTACTTTTAAAAGAAATTTACTAATATATTTCACTGCATATTAGTAAACAGAAAACATATCCAGTAACTATAATAAATTCTGAAAAATAATTTTAGAAACTCAATATACTATATATCTGAAATTTTTAAAAAATCATGTAATCTAGAAACAAAGGAAAAATTTCTAATTTAATAAAGATTATTTTATAGAAATGTATAACACACCTCATATTTAATGATGAAATATTATTACTTTTAAATTCAAGAACAGGACAAGAAACCTCCTAACCTCTGTTATTTAAGAGTCATTAACAAGTATTTATGTTTTAGAAATTAATTTCTTCCATAAAATAGGAACCTACTATGTTAATCCTTAAAGCAACAGATAGATCTCTAAACATGTTAGAGGCTTAAAATTAAAGCCACAGAGATTGCAGAAAGCAGGTAATCATTCAAATTTTCTACCCCCTCAATTAACCTATAATTATCCTAAAACCCTAATGGTTGAAAGTCAACCTACTACATACAAACTGTCATGTGGTTACTGCCTTATTCTGTGTAATGAAAAAAAATGGATGACAGAAGGTGGCAGAATAGTGACTTTACCAATACGTCTCACCCACTTGGAAATAGCAAAATAGTGTGTAGAGATTCACATTGGGAATCTTCCTCCAAGAAGGAACACGGGAGTTCAACATAAAAGCAAAAGAACATGCCTGAAGCTCTGACTCGAGGGGGGAAGGGGTCAAGGGAAATATACATAACCTTAACATTTGTACCCCCCATAATATGCTGGGAAAAATTTAAAAAGGGGAAAAAAACATAAAAGCAAGAGAAAACTTTAGATACTCAGAAGAAGAAGGCAACAGCTGACACAAGGAGGTTCAGCAAAAAACTGAATGAATTCCCAGCGCGGGGGAGGGAGGCACATCCACATAACACACATCCACACTGGGGAGCCAGACCATCCAGGTCACAGGGGAGCTCCTTGACCCTACTTAGTCCTGCATCTGATTTGGGCAACAGTCAGCAGACTGTGAGAAGAAATGGCACTAGAAAGCAACCCATCCACACTCCCAGACCTGGGAGCCCACAGGAGAAGGCCGTTCCTGATCCTAGCTCACAGAGAGCCATGCAGAAACCTGCCAGCTAGCAGGGCCGGCAGTCACTGGTTCGGAGAGTCTCAGGCCAGGCGCTGGCAATCTGGTCTTGAGTGATAGAGGAAGCTCCACCTACCAGATCTTAGAGATAAGTCCCTTTGCAAAATGGAAGTGTGAGGATGTGAAGAGATCTGCTCAAGAGACATAATTTTGGTCCAAAAGAGTTCTACACCTTGGGGCAGATCTGTAGACTGAGAGCAAACTGCATATGACTTGGCTGACTATCTCAATCCTGCCAGGTCAGACCACGGAAGGGAGCCCTGCTGAATCTGGAGTGTGAGAGTGAAGCAGGTCCCACTGCTGTTCAATAGGCTGTATATCCGCAGTCACCCCCTTTCCCCACACTGGGTCTGTGGGGAATACTCCACAATTCTCCAGGGCCTAAGAACTGCACCCCCCTTCAACCCTATCAATGCTGCTGCGTGCACCTATTGTTGGACGACCCAAGTACAGCCTTGCCCAGCCTGCCCCACCCTCCAGGTCTGCCCCTGCTTTGGAGACAGGTTGCAGGACCCAGACCACAGCAAAACCCAACTCCTGGGACACCCAAGTACTTCTCCCAATTAAAAAAAGAGCAAGCCTAAACCCTACTGCCAGCACTGCAGCTGGCTGGAGGTCAACAGGTACAGCCCATTACACCATCTACTGAACAAGTGCACAGCACTCAGGAATGAGATAAACTTCTTACGACCTCTGCTATTACCACTGCTCACACCACCCTGGCTACCCAAGAGGCCATAAGCCCACCCACCCACCTGGTACATTACTACTAAAACTGACATTTGAGAAAGCCATCACACTAGGCTATTTATAACCAAGGAAATCATTCAGAGTCTTCGCCACTGAACATACAGAGAAGCAAAGCCACGTGGCCCTACTAAACATACAACACAAAGCCACATGGCCCTACTAAACATACAACACAGTCACATCCTCAAGAAAAAAAAATGCCCCACCCAAATGAAAGTA